ATATATTTCTAGTTGTGTTGTCAGCATTAAAGGACCCTGTTTTCTTTTGGATACCCATGTAAGTAACATCATGTCTCGCTGCCTTGATCATAATTATTCTCAATTCAATCTGTTCATAAAAGCAATGTTGAGATTTCTACTGGTCATCAAAGTTTTTGTTTTGATAATCTGATAATAATATCCCAACAAATAGCCATGTTGGGTCGTGACCGTATGTCACGGTGTGTCATGGTGAGGGTGTGTGTGTGTGTGTGGGGGGGGTTCTGTGCGCTGCTACTTCCAGCGATGCCATTGTGTGGGATTAATATTGGACGCTTTCTAAAATTATTATTATTCCCCAAATGCTCTTTTGTGATTTGCTTTGAAGTGCGTGTATGCGTGCGTGTGTGTGAGTTGGGCGGGGGGGGGTTGTTAGTGGGGGGAGGTATTTGGTGAAGGGGGTTTGAGTGGGGGTGGGGGGAGACTTGCTTGCTCATTTGGAGAGCTTTTCCAATTATACAATTAGTCAGGAATGTAGGCCAGCGGCCTCGGTGCTCCTCCTGCTCCCGACGCTGGATAGCAAGTGCCCCTGCCTCGCTTTGAATTTAAGTCTCTTTCACGTTGATAAAGAAATACCTGACCATAAACAGACTTAAAAGAAAACAATGCCCAAATAAACTGGATCTAAGTTGTAACAGTGGAAATAAAGTGAAAGTGGCATCAGCGTGCTGTTCAGCGGCCAGAGCAGGCGGCGTCCCAGAGGAGCAACGCTAACAAACCCGCGACCTTCTTTGTGAACTGGGTTGCGTGTGAACGGCCACGGCAGTGCACCGCGGTGATAATGGAGAAAGTCATGGGGCCGGGCCTTCTCACATCAAATGTTGTCTGTTGTGTTGAATGGCTTTTTTGTAAACCCACCAACAACTCTCAGCATGCCCTGGAAAACCCCTCCATGCTGGGAAGAGGAGTGGGTTGGTGGGATAGTTGTTTTTTTAGGATTTAACACGCTCACACACAACCCTAACTACTTTTAATTTGTTTCCTTCTCTGGGACGGAATGATGGGATAACTTGACTCATGGTGAAGGACAAATTGTTTCATAATTTAGTCTTTTTCTGACTGTCCCGTCACCCTTCCACGCCTGCTTTAGAGTGTACCACGTCGGGTTTAATATGAAGCAACAACAACAGCCAAGTGCCATCTGTTGGCATGCAGATTTTCTCTAATCTCTCTTTACTGATTACAACAATAACTACACAAACCTCTTAAATAATTATCCCACAATGTAAAAAAAAAGAAAAAAGAAAAAAATAATAATTATAATCATTAACTCCCACCAAGTCTGCCACTCCTCCAGCAAATGAAGGCTGTCAGAGATGGAGGGAGATAAAGACAGAGACGAGACCGAGAGGGAGTCGGTCTTCTGCTGTGATGCCAATCATGTCGTATTTATACCAGCAGGGCAGCGTACCGCACAGCACTGACAATCTTAACCCAACAACATTGAAGTGGGAAAATTGACCCCTCTCCTCTCACCACCCCTGCACCTTATGTGGTTCTTTTCCGTCTGCTCGAGGAGTGAAAATCATCCTGAAATGGGAGTGCAGGTTACATTCTGTTGTTTGTCTGACAGCAGGTTCCATGCCAGGGTTTGGTGTAAACCACTAAGAATTAGAAGGAGAGAAAAAAGGCCTCCATCTTGACCCTATTTTGCCTCAAATCTTAAGATTCATGCAAGAAGAAATGCATTTTATTGACAGCCAATGTAACATATTATTCTTCAAACAGAGAAAGAGGAAAGGCTGTGATTGGAAAATTGGATCTTCAGGATGGTCAGCTTTCGAGCTTAATCTGTGAAGCCAAGTAGAAGCACTTTAAAAGTTTGCTTGCTTTTACTGGGGACTACGTCAACACGGTTCTACACGGGCAGATGGCTCAAGCACAGAGTCGCTGTTTTACAAAGGGTTCTATTTAACGTTCTAAAATGGAGGCAGCATTGAATTCATTCCATCATATCATGACTGCGTAGTCATGATCTGATTGTCAAGTCCTCTTGACATCACTCATTTATTTGTGGATGTCCTCTTTGTTATTGTTTTTAGAACCTATGAAGATATCATATTTGGAGAGCGGAGGACTGAAATAGAAACGCTGGACACCGCTCTTGTAGTGGCAGTCACCTGTCAATCACAGTAAGCCCGCCCTATGGCATTTTCTGGTTGGCAATCAAATTCTGTAACTAGTGACCATTTGTATGGGGTTTATAAATGATTGTATCCTATTAAAATGCACTTGCGAATGTAAGAATTTTTTTCTTTCTTTCTAATCCATTGGTTAAGGTGGGAAAAGTAGAAGTAAAAGTAGCAATAATTATATTATATATATTTCATATAATATAGCAGAACGTCCAGTGTTGTAAACTTCGAAAATAGGTTGGAAATTAGGTCATATTTTCCAAGCTAATCATATGTATAATCATATCATATGTTACTTACTATATAGATATAGTAGTTACTGACTGTGGCTGTTAAATAAATGTAGTGGAGTGAGAAGAATATTTACCTCTGAAATATGGTGAAGTAAAAGTACAGATGAAATGGACATACTTCCAGTATAAGTATCTAATACTTTTAATAAACTATATAACAGTAAGTGTACTCAATTGCTTTGCTTTACGCTGCTGCTATGGATTCATATTCCTGAGAGGCAACTGCCATTACCCATTTTTCCAACAGCAGGACTGATATTTCAAAGTTTTATATGCATGTCTGTGTGCCGGTCTTTTTATGAATCTCCTTCCTGATAAGTAATCTGTGTATGTGTGTATATGTGTGTGTGCGTGTGTGTGTGTGCATGTGTGCGTGTGCGTAGGCAACTTTGTGTGTTGAGTACTTGTGTGTGAGAAATGGTGTGAGAATACGTTAAGGGGAGCATGTGTTAGCTCTCCTTCCAATACGAGGGAAATCTGTGCCGCATACCTCTGATGTGACACAAGCCAAACGACATGACTCACCCATGCTATATTTGATTAATAAAACTACAGCCGGCAAAATGTGTTTCAAAACAGCAGACATTACCGAGGCGAGACTTGACATCGTATCATCGTTATTATTAAGGTACGAAGACAAAATATATGCGTGGAGCATCTGATGCGATCAAAAAATCATATCCAATATTTCATTTGTGGTTAAATATGTCTTCAATTTTCTCTTTTAGTGAGGCATATGTGATAGCGGGGAGATGATTCAGATTCAGCTCGGCTTTGCCTGAAGAGGACAGCTGCCACATATGTTTAGTTCCTGCTGCTCCAAATCTTGTAATAAGTGTTATAAAATGAATTTCCCAGCTTCAAGACAAAAGGTTTGCCATTGATTAGCACTTTACAAGCAATCCATTTTCACAAACCAGCCTGACCCCTGCTCGTCTCGTTTCCCAGGAAGCTGACTCTCAGGACGATGGTCTATTATGAATTACAAGAATGTGGAAGGGTGTGGAGAGGGTAAGTAATTATTGGAGAAAGGATGAGAGGAAGACCTGTATATATATTTGATGGAGAGCAGAGACGAAGGTAAGGATTAACACTTTCTTTCCTTTCGTGTGAGTACGACGGCAATGGCGGTGGCAATGGCGGCACGGAGTCTCCCTAACCCCAAAGGAGCGGATCTCACTCATACTTTTCGTTTGATCTCCCATCGCTCAGCGACACCGCGTACAGTGCGCCCGCCGCAACAGGCGGGGCCACGCTCCAGGGATAATGGCTTGCACCTGTTAACCATGTCACCTCTGTCTGCTAATTGAATCCTTTAGCAACATAGAGTGGGGTTGACAGGTGGTACGTGCACATTTCTATTTGTCTAGTTTCTCAGTGTCAAAAGAAACAGATTTCATAAGCCGACACTTAAAGAAATGATCATATCGCGGTAATTTCAGGAGACTTCCCAGGTAATCTTAAGAATGTCTTTAGATAATCACCTCAATAATTTTGCATCTGGACAGCCAGTGTTTTAAAATAAAGTAGGCCACATCTGTTGTTTTGATTTGTCAGATACATTTAATCAACATTTCATATGTTCTGTTGCTCATTTCATGTTGAGGTTGCGGCAGGTTTGTTAGCACTAATTAGGCTCCGACTAAATTTGTAGTGTTGCCCTTTCATCTGGCATAAAGTGATCGTTTGATTACATTTTTTTTCTTTTCTTTTTTTTTTCTTTTTGAAAAACGTATTTGATTCTGATTTTAAATGCATATAAGACGCACGAAAAAGACAACACTAACTAGCATTATCAGAAGCGTGAATCAGAGTTGTCAGTTAGCGACATCTCCAACGTAGCCAGCCGGTCTATCTGCTATCAGACGTGGTGAGGCCCTAAAACAATGATAATGCCGCAGTTTATTTTACTCTTTGTCCCAGATTTTAAATAGCTGTGTGCCAAACAAACTACCTGCATACATTTGCGTATTGTATGATAAAAACCCAAAAGCCCACACAAGGTTTTGTTGCTGATAAGCTGGCAAGAGGGACGTCACAATAAGTGAAATTAAGTAGTCAATTCCATGGCCTGTGAAACATAATTCTATTCAACGGTGAAAACCAAAACAACAAATCCCATAAAACTCAACCAGCAAACCTGAGTTACAGTGTGAATACTGATTCATGGTAGCTCATTGTCGATACATGATTATCTGACCGTGGTTTTGAAAACATTGTTACAGAGGTAGCAGTATCTCTGTATCTAAAGGTACCAGCGGTATTGAATATAAGTATCCAACAGGTTTCAAGAGAATCGTCAGTTATTGTGAAATCCCTTTTTGTCAATTTATTTCATCCGTCTGACCGCAAAAATTACGAATGACTAACTTTATAATTTGGAAGTACCCGAGAGCGAGCAGCAACCAACATCTGCGCTGAGAGACAATGTCTCGGCGGTGTGACCGCCACGTGTGGCAAGTGCGGGTGTGGGAGTGTGACAGACATCTTTAATATCCTCCCCTTTACTTGGGATCAATCGCTTTGATCGTACCTGTGTGACTGCCGCCGCTCCAATGGATGCCGGATGTTGGGAAGAGCGTTGACAGCGCGCCGGAAGGTGGGCCGACAAGAGCCTGTAAACAAAGCACATACCCAATGAAATTCAAATGCTTGACAAGTTCGCAACACTGGTGACAAAATAAAAATATCCATTAAGACATGCGTTGCCCCTAATAAAAAAACCTCTCCCACGACTTCTTGGGATGATGTGATTTCATTTGCACATCCGTGAGTAATCTAACAAATAGATTACCTGTATTTGACTCTATATACTTTTTATTGTCATCATTCATCATCACTTTTTAATTTTGACATTATAGTAAAGGGGGATCTTACAGGGAAAACATAAAAAAGTCCAAAATATATAATTTGTTAGTTCAAAAAATGTTGCAGAAACAAAACACAAAAAGAGCTGTGTTCTTAGAAAGAAGAAAAGTGCGAGAAGAGCACAACGTGGCGCAGCAGGGGAGGTTATCTGATCCAGCCTTGAAGTCATCGGCGCTTAACCCCCCAAAAAATAATCAAGCCCGCTCAAAGTATGTGAAGTGAAGGACTGACACTCCTTTTAAAGCAGCATGTAGCCTTGTATGTGACAACGATTCATGGCTATATTTCTAAACCCTGCAGAAAGTAGAATGCTTAGTTAGGGTTTGACACTGGAGAGACCCATGCAATTCTCACACACTGGTCAATGCTCAAATGTTGCGTTTTTGCGTTACACATTTAGATGTTTATTTTTACTTATTATTTGCGTCTGTAGATTTGTAGATCTGTATTAAGAGTTAATTTTACATTTACATATTTGAACATAACATTTTAGAAAAATGTCAGAAATTAACTGGAAAGTTTCATGGTGATATCTATCAGTTATTGTTTTTACTCTATTCAGCTGTACGGTCATTTGACATTTCATCAATATATGTTAGGGTGTTGTTCTCTGTTTTCTTATCAAATTGTGAGGCTGACTTTAAAGTTTCATTTCTATCTGTGTTCTGAAGGTTATTACAGAGGGGGTTGTTTGTATCCAATCATTCAGAGCCTGATGTATACATAGTCATAAAACATTTTATTTTATTTTTGGCTGTTGACATTGACATTCCTCACAGTAAAACATTTTAAATTGTATTTTTAGTAAAAATATGACCTTTAAAATTGATTTTAGTTTAAAAATGTATGCAAAGCACATATTTAGTAAAATAATAAAGCATTTTTATACATTTTTACAAAAATATTGAAGCAAAAAATGATTGTCATAATGCAATTAATCAGCTTGGAAAGGCAAATAGCCGAATTATTTGTTACCCATGTCCCTGCAGTGTCTCCACTGAAGAAGGAAAACCTGAAGATGCTAATTGATCCATTTCTACGCAACTGACTAAGCCACTCCTGATTTACATTCAAATTTCTTTCTGACATTTCAAACGTTTGCTTGAATCTGCTGCAGTTTGCTCAGATGCTAATATGAGAGTTCCTGCTTTTTGTATATTTACCTTCAATCTTTGAACCAGCAAACGCTCGCTCCTGCTCTAAAGATCACCTGTCAATCAGGGGGAAAGCGTTGCCGCCTTTCCATTGGTTTGCGCAGGGGGCGCTCTTTTTTCACTTATTCGTTAATGCCGTACATTATTACTCGAAATGTCTGACTGGGAGGGAAGTACGCGTCCAACAAATTCCCATGCGTGGAGCGGCCTCCTTTCTCCACCAAAGGGGGGGGGGGGGGGGGGGGCGCACAGATGTGGAGGGTCTGCAGGAGGGCCACCCTCATCTACCCAACACCACTGTTTCAACGCAGAATCAAGAGTAGAACTCACACACACACACACACACACGCGCTCACACACAAAGCCACGACTTTGCCTTAAGTCACAATCTAAATTGGCTCCCAAGGGCATACCGACTACCTTGTTCACCAAAGGCAATGTGTATGTTTTCTGAGTCCTTAGCATATGCTGCTGTAACCTGAGATCTCTTCTTCCCTCTCCCTCTCGCTATCTCTCTCTTTCTCTCTCTGTCTCCCTTGCACGCACAATACACATGTACACAAAAACACAACATCGCTAAAAGTTGCTGTGTTTCCTCCCTTTCCCATTGGGCCCTTAATTAAATTCAGAATAGTTCACGTCTACCTATCAAGCCGCCCACCAGACACAGACCTCGACAGGGACGGGAATAAAGTCAGGGTGATGGTGTGCTTGAGTGTATGTGTCTGAATGTGTTGGAGGGGTTCTTCTCAGATCAAGTCGTTGCTTTCATACAGCTGTGTGATATAGTAGATGCATGGAACGTTAACACGATGATTTTCACAGTCAAAAACAATAATCTCTCAATTTGATTCTCTCTTCAACACGTTCAGGAATATTTGCCGTGAAGTGAAACACTCTAACTAACACAAACTAAATGACACTTAAAGTGATCGAAAAGTGAACATGGAGCCGCGAGGATAGGACATGGAGCGAGCGGGAGGAGATATATACGGTTAGCATGCAGTGAAACGCGCCAGCTTGATTCCATATCAATGAAAGAAAACAGCTACCATCCTGAGACAGTCTAACCTTTCCTGTGTTTACCTTATTAAAGAGTGTGTGAATCGGTTGGTAGTGAAATTCACATGGGTGGGTGGGGGGAACAATGTGTATAAAGCCGGCAGTGTTTAAGCAGGCGAACGGTAAAGTAATAGGCAAGAGCAGTGAAGTGTTGATTCTACAAAAGATGCAGGGGGGTGGAGGGGGGCACTTTAATATAAACACACACACACGCACAAAAACGCGCATAAATCCCCTTCCCCTCCTCAACACACTCCCACAACACGGACGGCTGCCTGGCAGCCCAAGTTAACATTTTCTGAGAAAATATTCCATGCCTCCAATAGTCCGATGTAATTCATTTTCCATCTCTGTTCATTAATCATTGTTAAAATTAGTGATCCATTTCTTCCACTCTGCCATCTGCACTCAGCTTCCTAACAAACATGACACCTCAGCGCATAATAAAAGCTGACAGCTACGAGGAGGCCCTTTCCAAATAGCTTTCTGCATATGTGCACCTCCACGACTTAATGCCGTTGTCAGACAAAAGTAGATTATTTCGACCGCTGGCTGGAGGGAGATGCGGGACATCCGCACGCGTGCGTTCATGGGCGCTACATGTTGAAAGGAGAGGAAAAAATCACACGCAAACAAATCCCAGAAGTCACAGTCACAAAACAACAGATGTGCTTAATCTTGAATGGAATGTGCCAAAATCCCGATAAGGGAAAAGTGAGTGAATTAGCAAGGGGAGGGGGTGGGGGGCCAAAATATGAGAGATCTTGAAAACTGAGAAAAGTTAAAAGTGTACTGTTTTCCCCTACGAGCTTTGTACTTTAATGTCAGCTGGAACACTGTTGTACTTTTCCATTTGCTTCCAGCAGCTGTTGTTGTGATCCAGTCTATCACCTCGACTACACCCTGATCTTCGCTCGGTTACGCCAAAAGCTAATTGGGCGAAGAGGCAGGGACGGTGTGGGACAGAAAGAGAGGATCAGAAGGGCTTTGGGTCACCCGCCGCCTTCTAAAACACGCCACTCACTCAAGTAGTACAAAAGAATTACCTCGATGGAGAGCTATCCAACGCCCCAGAACACCCCCCCCCCCGCCCCAAGCTACTGCAGACACCGGGTATTCTGAAAGCAGTCGAAATTAGAAAAAGAAAAAAAAAGGAGCAAGCTTAATACACTAGAATGCTAGTGTATTTATTTGCACATGGACTCAGTTTAATGAAGCATAAAGGCAGGAGATGCACTAATATCTGTGATCTCGCTGCACTTCTGCTGGGTTGGGGAAGCGGGAATAACAGGTACTTGTAACCCAAGCTACGGGGTAAAATCTTTAACACTTAATTTTTGCTTACTAACGATCAAAGGTCTAATCCTTGAGTCATGTCAAAATCATGATAAACATTTCTAAAATTCAACCATGTATGTATCTGAATGCCACGTTCTCACTTACTCAATCATATTACCTTCCCCTTGTCTCTAGTGCCCCACCCCTCCAGCACCACCCTTAAACCGTCCCTTTTCACATCCACAGATATATGCACAACATCGCAAACACCAAAACATCTCTGTATACACATGCTGAACCTCAGAAATCCCATGCCGCTACAGTCCTTATTCTGCACCCACACATACACACGGTGAGGATTGCTCCCTGCCGGGGTGTGTGTGTGTGCGTGTGTGTGTGTGTCTGTGCCCGAGGCACAGCACATTAATCTATATAATGCCCTCAAAGAGAAGGCTTTTTCACACCGCTAACTGCCAAGGACTACGAGGGGCAGCGGCTGAGCCGTGATTCAGCTGTTAGCCCAACTGGCGTCCCTGCACGCGCATCCCCCCCCCCCCCCCACACACACACACACACACACGCAATATGTTAGCAAGAATACACACACTCACATGTACACCCTTTTCTGGCCAGGAAGACGACACAAACACCTTTGCGCACTCCCACAAGGAACCATTTACCAGCACTACGAGGCTGAAAACCCAACCTGCTATTTGGTAAAAGGACCAAACTGCCATTGATTTATCAACTTCTTTACTTATTCCACGATCACATGGTTACTCATTTGGGCGATTTAAGACCAAATTGTATTGCATTGAAGATTTTGTAAGTCTTACGTAGTGACAATTTTATAAGCTTCTATGTGCTTTTTATTTTTTTATACTAACATATTATCTTTTATGAGCTTATTTTTTTATATATTAACAGAAGAAGGGGCAGTTTGTGTTGCTAAATAGATGTCAGCATTGATAGTAGTATTGCCCGTCCGATCCAAAAATCATTGGTTTTGGTTACATAATAATAGTGTATATAGTCACTGCAAAGTCCCCCAATGAATTATTTCAGTAATGAAACGCCTTCTTCGCCATCAGCAGACACCGCAGAAGAAGACCAGTTTCCCCGTGTTACCTTGCAGGATTTCTGGGATCCACCGTCTTCCTATCTCAGACCGTGGAACTCCTGCCAGGGACCAAAGTTACCCAGTGCCAAATTTAATATTTATTTGTTGCGCGGAGGGCCACGCAGCCGACAGC